TCTACTTCTTGCAATGAATACTTTCAACACTTCAACAAAGCTATAACCCAACTGGAGAATGACTGGGGGATTATTTTCACAGACGGATCCCAATAAGACACCAACACCGCGTTTGCAGTAACAAACCAACTTGGTGTGACCATTGCTGTCGGTGCATTGCCAACCTACTGCTCGGTATTCACAGCCGAAGCAGCTGCATTACTTGAGCAATACAACATGCCTCCCAGAATAGAAAAAATGTATAATTTGTAGTGATAGCAAATCCACTTTGGACGCTATTAAGAACCCCACAAACGAATCACCACTAATTACAAGCATTCGAAACATACTACAGAACAAAAATAATATAGGAATAATGTGGGTTCCTGGTCATTCAGAGATACTAGGCAACGAGCACGCCGACAAAAGAGCCAAAGAAGTCATCCACGAACCGCTACACTTTAGCATTTACGTCACGAGCAAGGACATTCGGAAGCTGGTAGAAGAACATGTGCATGAAATTCGCACAGGAGATTGGAGCACCTTTCAGCACCATTATAAGTAATACAATCCCAATGGAGTGAAACCTTCTAATATATTCTGCCAAAGTATAAAAAAATTTACGCGACTCAGGATTGGTCACTCAATTTCTACTCACGTTCACCTACTAAACGGTTCACCCAAACTGTCCTCATTGCAGCTCTAGCGACTACTCAATAACACATCTTCTTGACTTCTGCCAAAATTGGGATGAACATAGAGCTTCCACGTTTCCTAATTGCAAGCCCACCGACCTACTAAGACACACAGATATCAATAGTATAAATTTAATTTGTAAAATCATTTCGCAAACTAGATTAAATACTCTCACCGCACACATCCTGGCCCTCCTCCACCGTACCTTTTCCCTTAACTTTCAGCCTCACCCCAATAAACATAAGTGTGCATGTATATACATATACGTAGCTATTTTAGATTAAATAATCATAAGCCGAAGGCCCTGGCAGCCAGCGCTTAGCTCTTAAGTGTAATAGTTATTTATAATTGTTACTCTTGTAAATAAATAAATGAATAAAAAAATCATCAAAAAGCACTGCGGATACAAAATCTGTGGTTAGCCAGGTCTCAACAAGTATGATAATTTTCTTTATCGTACATACGTACTCACCTTTACTTTCATTCTTGTATTGTTATTTCTAAGTGTTATCCTCTAACCTTTTATTAGCAAGTGTTTGTTAAATTCATACCATATGCATACACACAAGAAGTACTTGTTTCAGGCCCAACCATTTCCGTTGCACCATTTCTGTTGCACCATTTCCGTTGCATCATGTCCGTTGCATACACACAAGAAGTACTTGTTTCAGCCCCAACCATTTCCGTTGCTCCATTTCCGTTGCATCATGTCCGTTGCATACACACAAGAAGTACTTGTTTCAGCCCCAACCATTTCCGTTGCACCATTTCCGTTGCATCATTTCCGTTGCACCATTTCCGTGTGCAATTTCCGCTGAATTTGCCAATTTACTCCCACCCAACCAACCGCCGCTGAAGAAGTTTCACTTCAATAAAATGGACAAAGGAAAGTGATGCTCCTTTTGTGACATAAAAGAGGAAAAGAAGACGTTTCGCTGCAGCAAATGTTTTTATACGGCACTGTAAAATACTTTTTGCAGCGCAAGTAACGAGTGATTCATCTTTACCCCTTAAAGGGGCCGAATACCACGTTACCTCTCAACAGCTAGTGATGGGGGTTCTGATTGAATTATTTCAGAATTAATCTCTATAAACCTAAAAAGGCACAGAATATTTTATTGTATAAAGGTCTGAAACTATTTAATGAACTGCCAAGTAATATAAAGAATGAAAGAAACATAATTGCATTTAGAAGACTGTTAATAGATTACATTAAAGAAACCATATTTTAATTCGCAATAAGTCTATAAGATAGTATTGAAACTATGTATATGTAAAAATGTACCTGAAAGTTTCAAATAGTTAATGCTAAATAAAGACTAGGAATTTCAACTGATCCCTTTTGCNTGTTAATAGATTACATTAAAGAAACCATATTTTAATTCGCAATAAGTCTATAAGATAGTATTGAAACTATGTATATGTAAAAATGTACCTGAAAGTTTAAAATAGTTAATGCTAAATAAAGACTAGGAATTTCAACTGATCCCTTTTGTATCAGCTGTCAAGAGGAAGATGAAGTGGAATCATCTCCACACTTTCTTTTAGACTGTCCAACCTTCGCGAGGCTAAGATGGAAGAATTTTAGCTCGCTGTTCTGAACTAACACTGAGCTCTCAGGTATCGAAATTAGCCGCATTCAAAATTTGGTAATCGGCTCGAGCGTTAACCTAACCCAACCTAACCTCTACTTCTTTGAGCTATGAAATAGTGCTCACATTATGGATACTGCAAGTGTGGAAATTTACAGGCTAATAGGTTAAATTTTGAAAGAATTTTTAAAATCCATTTATCAATTTTAGTCACATGAATGAGTTTTTTAACACAATTTAACATAAAACGCACCACTTAAAATTTTTAAATAAATTCCTATTTTTATTTCCTTAAATAATTTAAATTATAGCCTTAGTAGATAGATAGGCAACCCTACTACCGAACCTGTACAAGGTAGTGTTACCGGATCCGCTGATTTCACAGCGAATTTGTACCTTTTGTCAAAATGATATGTTTGCTGTAATTTTGTTTTATACTGATTGTCAATGTGCGTATAATTTGTTATTGTAATTTTAGTTTTTGTTCTGCCAACACCACCTTGTATAAATTCGCCTTGGAACGAATCTACAAAAATCTATGAGAAACAACAAAGCAAGCGGCGCATCAGATTTAAAGCATAAATCAAATGATTGCTCAATGAGCGCTCCCTGCTGCTTTAATGAGTTTATCAACGATTAAAACTTCTGAGTGCTGAAAGCTAGATAAGCAAAAGAGGGTTCTGCTTTAATGAGGAGTAAGACTTTGAGTGGCATGGGAGCATGAGTTAAATATAGAGGCGAAAGAACTTAGTTATATTAAAGATAAGAAAAGAAAGAGTGGTTGTAGTGAGGAGGAAGATGGAAGTTTTATTCCTCAGTGAGAAATTTTTGCGATCTCTGTCTTAAAGTACAATACCCAAAAAATAAGGGAGGTTTAAAAAAAAATATTAGAGCTAAATGAAGAGGCTATCTGATCCATGTGCCGGCCTAACCGAAAAAAAAATGTTTCAAGTCCGTGGACCAAAAAAAAAAAATTTGAAAAATTATTTTTTCGCGTTATCTGTCAAGATTACATGAGCATTGTAGCTCCTAAAATTTGTTTGCCAAAAAATCTGAAAGTTGGAACATTAAAGATTCAAATTTATGTATTTTTACAACGCTTTTTTTTATCAACTTGCAATGTTGTGTGTCCAGACCACCATTTATACTATAAAATAGCAAAGGTAGTTGTTCAAATATCTTGTAACATGTATGCATACATACATATGTACATCTGCCAGGGCAATAAAACTGAAAAAAAATACGTACAATAATACTTATTGACACACAGAAAATACAGTCCACTTTAGAATAGAAGATAAGTAAAATACATAAACATGAGAAGTGAACCAAACCCCATAAATTGTAACACATTTAACTGTCAATATTTTGTACACAACCGAAATAAGATATCAATGCGTTGATCTCTTTTAATCTAATGTTCGCGCATACAAATGCATACACCCATACATACATGCATTAGAAAATGCATTGATATTATTTGCATGTATACATATAACCGACGCAAATGCAAGCATTAAAATTAAAATTATGATAAGACCAAAGCGGTTGTTTGTAAATAGTACATACCAAAACAACATGTACATACACACACACACATACATATGTATTTACAATTAGTTAAGGAAAATAGATTTGGAATTTGTATATAAAAGGAAAATATTTAATAAACAGATCAGAATCGTAAAGACTCTCAATAACACTCTTCTTCTTCTCTATTTTATTTTGTATGCTTTACTTCCCCCCACCAGCGGTAAGGGGTAAAGCATTTAACACTATTTTTTTTCTTTCTTTATTAAAGTTTTACTTCCCCCCACCAGCGGTAAGGGGTAAAACTTTTAATATTGAAAGTACTAACCTCTTATTTTATTAGACTCTACTCCCCCCACCAGTGGTAAGGGGTAGAGAATTTTAGAATAAGAGTATTTGTAGTTCAAGCATTGCTGAGAATTACTTGTTACCCCCCCACCCGAGGTAAGGAATGATTATTTATGGAATGTATACTAAACATGTTCAATTTATTTTACAATTGAACAGTAGTTATGGCAAACCTAGTCCAGATATCAACCTCGTCGTAGTACGTATCATATCAAAGACATACAATTAGAAAAACTCTAGAGGTAGATGTCGCCCCGCCAGAAAAAGTTATTATTATTATTATTGTTAGGGCATATATAGCGCTGCGACCTAGCTAGATCTATTGTGCTAACATTTATCAAGTCACTCCAACCTTAGGCTGTTAATGAAGTTAAGAACTTTGGAGGGTGTCGTGTTCCAGATTCTGGATGGAGACGATATTCGCTCTCCAAGGTGTATAAGTTTAAGTCGAGTTATACGCGGGCAATCACATAGTATATGCTCCGGGTTTCATCCTCTAGCCCACAAAACCTGCAGTTCGTCTCCTCAGAGAGTCCCATCTTGTGCAGATGGTACCTCAGCCTGCAGTGTCCTGTTAGGTATCCGGTGAGAGTTCTTAAACCCTCTGCTAAGATTTAGCAGCCGTTCAGAGATTCCTCGAGAGGGAGTTATGAATCTTTTGGACTGCGTATTACCCTTTGTCAAGCGCCATTGTATTGTAACTTGCGAGTCCTCCCATCCCCTTAGGAGCTTTGCTGTGTATCCTTTGGATGGACCAAAGAAAGGCTGAGGGCCGATCAGGCTCCGTTGGGCACCGATTTTCGCTAGGGTGTCAGCCCTTTCGTTGCCATCGAGTCCCTCATGACCCGGAACCAACCATAGGGTTACTCTGTTACTGGCTACCAATCTGACAAGTACCTTTTTGCAACTGTCTACTACCCTTGAAACCGTTTTACAAAAGTCAAGTGCTTTTAACGCTGCCTGGCTCCGACATGATGTTTATTGTTGCCCCATTTGTCCTTGTACGAAGACATTCGTGGAAACAGACTTCAATTGCAAAAATTTTCACCTGGAATATGGTAGGGTATAAGCCCATCGGGACGCTGTTTTTGAAAGCTAGGTCCATATACGCCGGTCCCAGTGTTCCCATCCTTAAGTTTCGAACCATCAGTGTACCAGACTTGAGTACCCTCGTTTTACAGGTATCCTTTTCAGGTATTATTACCTTGTATTGCTTTGTAAAGGTCAGCTTCGTTAGCATTGAGTCTGTTAGTTTTACAACGGGATTATTTAAGAATGGTTTAAGGAAATCCAAATGGCCCCTTAAGTCCCCCTTTTCAAGCTACTTAGGTTCGGTAGCCCCAGGGCGCTCCAGAAAGCCTCTTTCTCTATAAGTATGGCTAGAGGCGGTATGCCTGTGATGGCACCAAGCGCCTCTGTCGGGCACGAGCGCATCGCCCCGTTATGGCCACACCAACCAGGCGGTGGAGCTTACCCAGAGTGACTTTAGAGGTTGTCTGCTTGGCTTTTGGCCACCAGGCCAGTGCCGCATAGGTGACAATCGGTTTTATAACCGTATTGAATGACCAATACGTTAATTTCGGGGATATTCCCAAAGTCTTACCATGAAGCCTTTGACAAGCATAAAATGCTCTCGTGGCTTTATTGGTAACCGCTGTGAGATGCGAGTTCCAGTTGAGTTTCTTATCTAGTATTACGCCTAGATATTTTGCCTCTTGTGAAAACTCAATTTCTGTCCCATACAACTTCGGTTTGGTCAAGTGACCTTCCTTCTTTTGGTAAATGGGACGATGACGGACTTCATTGGGTTAATTGACAGGCCCTTTTCAGCACACCATCCTACGGTTACGTTTAGAGCAGACTGCAACCTGGAGCTTAAGGTCTCCTCATCCCAGCTTACCACGTAGATGATAAGGTCGTCAGCATATCCGAATGCATTAAAGCCATTCCCTTTAAGTCTTTCTAGAAGTTCGTCCACAACCATTGTCCACAATAGGGAGAGAGGACCCCCCCTTGAGGGTAGCCACGAGTGGCCGTTACCGTTTGCCTACTACCTTCTAGTTCGACTATTATGGTTCTGGACTTCAGCATACTTATGAACCAGTGGGTTATGAGTTTAGGAATGTCCTTCCTTGTCATACCCACGGATATTGCTTCGTACGATGTATTGTCAAAAGCACCCGATATGTCGAGAAATGCACAGAGGGCAATCTGTTTATACTCAATTGCCTTTTCAATAGCTTGGGTTAGGCCATGTATTGCAGTAGTGGTAGATTTCCCTGTTTGATAGGCATGTTGACTTTCATAAAGTGGTTTAACCTTGAGGTAGGTGTCCCTGGTATGAAAATGAATTAGTTTTTCTAAGGTTTTGATAAGAGAGAGCTGAGGCTTATAGGTCTATACGCCTTTGGGAGATGATCTTGTGTCTTCCCCGCTTTGGGTATGAATATGACCTTAACCTCCTTCCGTGATGTCGGTATGTAAGCAAGAAGTAGGCTTGCTCTCAGAAGTCTGAGTATGGTACCGAATAGGGACCCAAGGCCCTGATGGAGCAGGCATGGATAAATACCGCCAGGACCAGGGGATTTGTATGCACTAAACGTTGAAGTAGCCCACTGCCACCTTTCACTGTTGACGATTCTGCCCGCTAGGCCTCTTGTCCTTCTGTTCACACGCACTGTGTTGACGGTGTTCACGTTAGTACTTGGGCCTTGTGTGATGCAGCCCGGGAAGTGGGTATCCAATAGAAGCCTGCTTGTTTCCTCAGGTGTAACGGTATAGGTTCCGTCGGGTTTTTTCAAAGTGCATAACCTGTTCGAATGATCCAATTTAAGGGCCTTCTGTAGGCGCTGAGCAGCCGGCAGGGAAGATATTCCCCCGCAGTACTCACACCCAGTGTACGAAAATAAACTATATTGTACGTTACTATTTCGTTTCGTTTATTACTTTAACAGTTCGGTACAATACGAAACAAAACGGCTGAGTTCACCTTGGCGATAGTACACTACAGTAGTTTAGTAGTTACAGACAAAACAACAAACGAAATGAATCGTGCAGGGAAAATATTTCTATGTATGTACATATATGCAATAAACAAATACAAAACGAATGGCTGCAATGAATAAAAAAAATAAAAATGTTTTTTAATTGAATTGGATATGAAAATTTACAGAAAAAAATATTTTTCACGTAATTGAAACGTTTGCATACATATAAAACGTACCCTATGGTACAATTGTCACAAACGAAAAGCAAACGTTTCTCGTTGGGGAAAATGACAGTGAATCTTACAATTTGTTTCTGACTATTTACAAAACTTCGTTCGTTTTGGATCTTCTGAGCTCACTGTTGTAAGCAGTTAGGTCCGATCTGTAGGCTGACCAGTCACCAGATCGCTTGGCTCTGTTGAACAGTTTCCTAGCCTTTTGACGAAGTTTGCTGAGGTTATTGTTCCACCAAGGGACGCCCTTTGAGATTTCTTATTCCTCTTTGGACAGCTCGCTTCAAAGGCTGATGATAAATTGTCCTGCAGTAGAGCAGATTCTACTTCCAGGTCATGCGTGGATAAAATATCCGTCACAGACAAGTTCGCCCCCTGTTGCAAGGGCAGACGAAAGAGTTCCCAGTTTGTATTCCTGGGATACCTGTAAATCTGGTAAGTCTCGTTTAGGGTGCTTAAGTCAAACCTAATGTGCTGATGATCTGACATATATACCTCATTTGATACGTGCCAGTTTGAGATAAACGCAGACAACCTAGTTGAGCAAACTGTCAAGTCTAAGACTTCACCCCCNCCAGGTCATGCGTGGATAAAATATCCGTCACAGACAAGTTCGCCCCCTGTTGCAAGGGCAGACGAAAGAGTTCCCAGGATACCTGGGAATCTGGTAAGTCTCGTTTAGGGTGCTTAAGTCAAACCTAATGTGCTGATGATCTGACATATATACCTCATTTGATACGTGCCAGTTTGAGATAAACGCAGACAACCTAGTTGAGCAAACTGTCAAGTCTAAGACTTCACCCCCGATAGCATTTATAAATGTCGGCTCATTACCCCGGTTAAGAATATACAGTTGGTTCTTAATAATATATTCAAGAAGTGACTCACCTCTGCTGTTGGTGTCTGAGCTGCCCCACACTTGCTGATGGGCGTTGGCATTACAGCCCGTAAAGTGGGAGCTACCTTTCATAGCCAATCCTCTGTCGCCGAGTCTTCACAGCCAACAGTCAACCATCGCGGGCGGAAAGTGCAGCAGCTGAATTTGGGCTTTGTGGAGCCCTTTCGCTGCTGTCTCACCGCATCCAGGATAGATGTCTGAACTGCTTGCAGTTGTTGCAGAGACCATAGCAACTTTTGGTAGTCGGTTGGCAGAAGTTCCACCCTATTACCCTTGCCAGCGACCGCCCGATTTGCTGTCCTTTGTGACATCGGCAAAGGTCACCTCCGTCTTTGGCAACATTGGTCCCGTGGGGGCTCTTTTATCAATCTCATAAATTGTTTATAATAACTTTTGCTAAAATTTCAAAGTCAAAAGTTATCNTCCAGGATAGATGTCTGAACTGCTTGCAGTTGTTGCAGAGACCATAGCAACTTTTGGTAGTCGGTTGGCAGAAGTTCCACCCTATTACCCTTGCCAGCGACCGCCCGATTTGCTGTCCTTTGTGACATCGGCAAAGGTCACCTCCGTCTTTGGCAACATTGGTCCGTGGGGGCTCTTTTATCAATCTCATAAATTGTTTATAATAACTTTTGCTAAAATTTCAAAGTCAAAAGTTATCAAAACAAATTCTGTGTGACTGAGATATATTATTTTCTAATTTTTAGTCCATTTATAAAAGCGTGGTATATTAAAAAGTTTTTTTTATTTTTAACCAGGAGGAGGTTATCAGTTCGTCGGAATATTTTTTAATATTTTTTTTTTTTTTATGTTACCGCATAACTTTGGACCACGTCAACCGATTTCGATAATTTTGCATCGGAAAGGCAGTGTCTCAGAGGTGGTCCCATACTAATCTGGTTAAGATCCGATCAGTGGATCATGAGATATATATATATATTTTTTTTTATATGAGAGTTGAAGTCGGTTTTTTTTTGTTGTAAAAAATACTTGTATTTATTTTTAGTCTCAATTGTCTGTCAAAAATTACCGAAAAATTTAGATTTTTTGCTCCCTTAATTTCTTTGAGTAGTGTATTATCTGCCTACATTGGTAGGTAAAGCCAAGCCAAAATTTTTATTCTTTGCGACCACAACCAGAAAAATTTTCGTGGACCCCACTTACAACTCGTAAACTCTCATAGTTTTTTCACGCCAACGTAGACCCCCGTCGAGTTTCCCGTGCAGAAATTTTCAACTATTCAATTCGGATAACGGAATTCTGCGCAGAAATGCTGTTTATGGCGTAGTCGGAAGAGCATTGTAAGGTTTAAGAAAATAAGTTTTATAAAAAATTCACTTCAAAAAATTGTTGTGTTCATGCGCCATATGGAAGAAGATGCGCAACGCCCTCGGAAAAAAGAATCTCAAAAATCAACGGTAATTTTTAGCGACTTGAAACTGCACTTTANATTGTAAGGTTTAAGAAAATAAGTTTTATAAAAAATTCACTTCAAAAAATGGTTGTGTTCATGCGCCATATGGAAGAAGATGCGCAACGCCCTCGGAAAAAAGAATCTCAAAAATCAACGGCAATTTTTGTTTTGTATGAAAAAAATGATTATTGTTGGTTTTGCTGTTGAATGAACTAAATTTTTATAAAAAAATAAAAANATTTTTTTTAAGAAATTGAATTAAAAAATTTAAAATTTCGACGAAAATTTCTTGCATTTTTCCCGAGTTTTGTATGAAAAAAATGATTATTGTTGGTTTTGCTGTTGAATGAACTAAATTTTTATAAAAAAATAAAAGTTGGGTATGGAAAATATTAATCAAAAAAATCGTCAAAACGTCGGGATATAGATACTTGTTTTTGACGGTCACTGTAAATCTACGGCTGAGTGGAAGATCGACCTATCTCGGCAGCCGGTTCGAAAACGCCTTATCTCAGAAGGTGTCTCAAGAAGCCCCTCCCTTCAAAGGAATTTGAAAAAAATAAAATATTAGAAAAACACAATGATGCGGCAGTGTTTAGAAATTCTTTTTTTCATCAGGCGCAGAGTTTGTTATTATGGCCTTTACGTTTTGAAGTCCACAACAAATAAATTTTTCAATATTATCTCGTGCATTGGAACTGAAATAGAAATATCTTTATTTTAGAAGCCTACGAAGAAACTTATATAATTTGTAATTTGTTTTATTTATTTCAGGAACGACAAGAATTCATTGGAACGTCTAAAACTGAAGTATCAGCAGACAAAATGAGCGAATTCTACAAGACTTTTTTAGACAAAAATAGAAAAACTCATTTGCAGTATAACTACATATGGTATAAGAAAAATTTTGAAATGCTTAAACTATCTTTTAGAGTTTATCTTGAACGACTTTTGAGAAAACGTAAATAATATTCATTCTGCTTTTTTATAGTAAAATATTTAATTTTGAATTGATTAAAATAGGTAAATCTACACTGACACATTGCAACTTCTCGGCTGCCATATTAAATATCTACACTACTTTTAACAAAAAATCAAACAAAAAAAAAGACTTTTTAATATAAAAATGAAAATGAAATGAAAAACATTGGGCGCATGCAATACAATTTATCATATAATAAATAATATATAATTCATTAACAATTCCTTTAATTGACAATAAGTCTGAGTTTGCTAACACAGGTGTTTTTAGCATGAGGACCTCGTAAACAGTACCAGCGCATACCAGTGGTTGCATTTATATGGGGAGAGCGGCCAAAAATACTTTTAATGGACATATCGGAATAAAATTTTTACCCTAAGGTCTGTTAAGAATAAAAACTGTAATATGTAAAAGTGGGCGGGGTTGGACACGCCCACATACAGTCATGTGAAATATAATAGGGAGACGACATTGTGACCAGTTTCGGCTATTTTTTTTGTTTGTTTAATGTTTATTTTTTTTATAAAAATACAACTCACTATCTAACAAAAACCACATAAGTCCAAATTTCAAACTTTGTAAAAAAAGTAGAAAAATTCAACAAAATTAAAAAAAACACAAACCTTTTTAATAAGAACTTTTAGAAAAATCTAGGTGTGCAGTTTTATAGCCCATTAAATTCTAGATTAAGAAATTGCAAGTTTGAAGTGGCTAAAAATTTGCGTCGATTGTTGATAATTTTTTTTTGGCGGATGGTGTTACTATTTGCTTCCATAAAAAAAATTGTCAAACATACTTTGAATGGAAGAAAATGCGTGACACCGTCAGGAAAAAAATTATCAAAAATCAAAGCTATTTCTTTGCCACTTAAAACTTGCATTTTCGTGAGCTAGAATTCAGTGGGCTATAAAACTGCATACACAACTTTTTTCTAAAAGTTCTTATTTAAAAAGTTTGGTGTTGTTTTAAAATTTTGTTGAATGTTTCTATTTTTTTACAAAGTTTGATATTTGGTTTTTGTTAGATAGTGAGTTGTATTTTTATAAAAAAAAATAAACATTAAACAAACAAACAAAAAAATGGCCAAAACTGGTCACAATGTCGTGTCCCTCTTATTTTGCACATGACTGTATTATAATGATTTTTCAAAACTGCTGATTTTTGGCATTTGGATCTTTGCCAAAACAATGCAAATTTTTTACAAACGTAATTAATACATTTTTGCAACTCATACCGATCTGGCTCAAAACCCTCATATTCAATATCTTTCGCTATTGCACCCAGCAAATTTTGAACTTGTTGGGAATGCGTACCGAAATTTTCACGCCAAATCTCAAAAACATGCAATCGAGAAAATTCTCAGTGTTAACTTTTGCCTAGAAACATTTTGAATTAGATAAATCAAAAAATAAACATGAAAAAAAACTGTAGAAAATAAAGAGCTTGGATTAGGTTATGGAATACTACGCGAGCCTCTGCAGGTCAATGCATCTACACTGAACACTTTTATAATCTTAAAATATTAACAAACAATATGTAAATAAAAGTATTGAGGGCCGATAGGGGAAACATACTTAAAACATTGCCTAAATACTTGAAAGACGAACCAAGAAACACACAAAAGCCTACTTTTCTAAAACAACGATTTGCATAAAACACAACATGAATTATCTAAAAGTTTAATTGTAGAAATAAAGCCAATACTTTTATGCACAATATCCATTGCATACAATTTTAACTCACTCGGCTTTTCACAATATTTTAATTACGTTAAATCCAATTCAATTTTCAGCGTGCTGACGCTGTACAAATAAAATGAACAATTGATGACAGTTTTGTTGCTTTATTCAGAAACAACCGCTAGAATGAAAACAAAAAATATATGACAACATGAAGTTTGGACAAAAAACTGATTGCAAAGCCTATCTTGGTTCACAAATGTTTACATACATTTTTTAAATTTTGGCCTATGGCAGCAACCACTGTACAGCGGCAGGATTCCAATATTCGCTATCGCGAATTTTGATCCCCAAAAATCTCCAAAAGAATAGCAGGGGTGCCTGACAACATGCAACATCTAGTTACATGGCCCTCATGCTGCCAGATTTGGCTGATTGCACATTGCATCTGTTACTTTTCCATGTTTTATACTTTTAGATCCTACTTCTTTTCATTTACAGAATTTTTGGGATGAAAAAAAATTCAGCGATAGCTTAAAGGTGAGACCCACAATGGCCAGAGGCGTGCCATGTACGGCTAATCAGTTTCGCCTGAAATTCAGACGATTTACGAACAGTGTTGCCGCAGAGGAAATTATCACCGAAATTCCCTAAAATCGATCAAAAGTATCATGAAAAAAAATTTTTAGTATCAAAGTATCAATCTTCAATAAAACTTCTAATTCTTAAATTAAAATGGTAGTTTGAATTTTTAATTTAAATCGTTGACAGTTTTTATTAATATTTTTATGGTTTTTGTTTAAAATACAGAGTGAAAATAAAGCTTTTATACTCGGTAACAGTTGAATTCATTTGCATACTTAACTAAAATCACATATCAAATTGGTACACTGTAAGAACATAAAAGTAATTTTCACAATACTTACTGGATTACTCTGGATGAAATTCTTGAGGCAGTGTCACACGATTGGTACATTTGTACAGATTTGTACATTTTGGCAGCTACAGAGTAGTTTTGTTTGGAAATTCTTTTATTGAGCTGAACTCAAATTTCTAAAGAACGCCACTCTGTGACTGCCAAAATGTACAAATCTGTAAAAAATCAAAAAGGAAAAGGAACGACAATATAAGCCTGTTCCCGCACTCCAGGATATAGTGAGAAATTGTTCGAAAAATATATGTATGATAAATGTGTGAAAGGAAATGACTTCGGACTATTTCGGACTAAATCCTGGAGTACTTGGGCAGCAGTGTTGCCGCGCTGTCCCAAGAAAATGTATCACCGACCAAGCCAAAAATGTATCCAAATGTATCCATTTTTTGATTTATTTTTCTTCTTTTACGTATCCATCTCATAGTTTGTAAGAAAACCAAACATTTTTAAGAAAAAGACATAATTTAACCCATCCTAAGGACTTGGAATACGTGTATATATATTTTTATATTTCATAAAATCAAACATTTGTTATTTGAATTTATAAATAATATTTTTTATGCATAAGTATTTTGTAAAGTAAGTATAATAAATAGTAATTAATATGTTACATTTGTACCTGTACACTCTAAAAAGTGTGTGTAANTCTAAATTAAGTAACTGATCTTGCAGTAATTTAAGGTTACCTAAATAGATTCCGACAATGAGGAAATAAACCCCAAAATTCTCACCTCCCGTAGAAAGAAACGGGCGCACAAATCGTGTTCCAATAAAAGAAAAGCGAATTCAATGAAAAGGATGAAAGGACAAAAGTATTTCGGATTCTCTACCAAAGATGAAAATTTCAAACAAATTAGCCTTAAGTCAGCAAGGAAAATTGGGCTAAAATGCATGTCGGCCAAATGTTTGAAAAGCAAAGTCAGGCACTGTGGACTGTTTGATGAAGAG